TCTATCCGATCTTTCTTTGATTCTTTGGGTGGGGATCATGTACTGTTGTTCTCTGGGTCACAAAATCTTACTTGGGTTCGGGAATTTTATTGCAATATGGGGGGTCTTAATGACATTGGAACATCTTTTAAGACCTGGGTTCGGTCCAAGGAAATCACTGTTACCACTGACCTTATCCGCGAGATCTTAGGGATTCGTGAGAGATTTCCTATTTTTTACCCTTTTCCAGTGCGCCCTACATGTGATTTTGATGAGGTTGCTCAGTTTCTTTGTGGTTGTCCTCGCCCTTGGCCTTCCGGTTCCTTGATCAAACAGCATGAACTTCTTCCCCAATTTAGGTTACTCAACCTAATTGTGTGTGCCAATATCATAGTTACCACTCACTGTTCTGAGATTAACCAGGATCAAGGCTTTGTTCTTCAGTGTATAGCCCACAATCGTCCCATCGATCTTGCTACTCTTATCATTCAAAAGATGTTTGCTCCTTTTGAGCGCAGCAATCTTGGCTTACCCTATGGCTGTCTCATTAACCGACTTTTAGCCAAGTTGAAGGTCCCTGCTTTTGATGAGGATGATTTTGCTTCTCCTTCCCGTCCGTTTACCAAAAAGACAGTCTCCCAGAGTCAGTCTCACATTAGGGGGGTTTCTTCTGGTTCAGGTCTATCTGGTGCAGGTCCCAGTACTGCTGCGGCCATGGCAGAGGAGGCCGAGTATGATGCTGCTGTTGGTGGAGATCTTGGTGAGGGGGAGCAGCACCCGCCAGTTCGTACAGTTCGTGGTCAGCTTCAGTTCCTCGAGCGCTCTGTTGGTTCCCGATTTGACCATCTTGAGGCGCGGATGGATATCTTTGAGGCCAGACTCACCGATCTTGAGACCACTACCGATGCTCGTTTCAGTGCCTTGGAGGCTTCTTCCCAGCGGATTGAGGATTCTGTGGCACAATCTTCATCCCAGTTGGCTCAGATCTTGTCCTTGCTACAGATGCCGTCTCCTCCTCCGGCTTCGTGATCTTTGCTCTGTGGTATTTTGTTCTGTTTCTCTTTCTTTTGTTCCCTCACGGACAAAAAGGGGGAGTGATTGGGTACTACTACTGTTTTGGATGTTTTTGGTACTGCTGTTTTGGATGTTTTTGGGTACTGCTATTTTGGATGATTTTGTTTTTGGTACAGTCGATGTTGAAACAGGATTGTTGTTCACAAGCATGGATTTGGATCGTCGTTGGTGTTGTTTTTGTTGGAGTTATGTTGAAACCAGCATTGTTTTTAGTTTGAAACAACCATTGTTTTTAGTTATGTTGAAACCAACATTGTTTTTAGACTAGGACAAACATTGTTTTTAGTTATGTTGAAACCAACATTGTTTTTAGTTTGAAACAAACATTGTTTTTAGTTATGTTGAAACCAACATTGTTTTTAGTTTGAAACAAACATTGTTTTTAGTTATGTTGAAACCAACATTGTTTTTAGTTTGAAACAAACATTGTTTTTAGTTATGTTGAAACCAACATTGTTTTTAGTTTGAAACAAACATTGTTTTTAGTTATGTTGAAACCAACATTGTTTTTAGTTTGAAACAAACATTGTTTTTAGTTATGTTGAAACCAACATTGTTTTTAGTTTGAAACAAACATTGTTTTTAGTTATGTTGAAACCAACATTGTTTTTAGTTTGAAACAAACATTGTTTTTAGTTATGTTGAAACCAACATTGTTTTTAGTTTGAAACAAACATTGTTTTTAGTTATGTTGAAACCAACATTGTTTTTAGTTTGAAACAAACATTGTTTTTAGTTATGTTGAAACCAACATTGTTTTTAGTTTGAAACAAACATTGTTTTTAGTTATGTTGAAACCAACATTGTTTTTAGTTTGAAACAAACATTGTTTTTAGTTATGTTGAAACCAACATTGTTTTTAGTTTGAAACAAACATTGTTTTTAGTTATGTTGAAACCAACATTGTTTTTAGTTTGAAACAAACATTGTTTTTAGTTATGTTGAAACCAACATTGTTTTTAGTTTGAAACAAACATTGTTTTTAGTTATGTTGAAACCAACATTGTTTTTAGTTTGAAACAAACATTGTTTTTAGTTATGTTGAAACCAACATTGTTTTTAGTTTGAAACAAACATTGTTTTTAGTTATGTTGAAACCAACATTGTTTTTAGTTTGAAACAAACATTGTTTTTAGTTATGTTGAAACCAACATTGTTTTTAGTTTGAAACAAACATTGTTTTTAGTTATGTTGAAACCAACATTGTTTTTAGTTTGAAACAAACATTGTTTTTAGTTATGTTGAAACCAACATTGTTTTTAGTTTGAAACAAACATTGTTTTTAGTTATGTTGAAACCAACATTGTTTTTAGTTTGAAACAAACATTGTTTTTAGTTATGAGAGTCCTAGATTTTGAAGACAGCAGCTCATTGCAGCCATATTAGGACACTCAAAAGTTGAGAACTATACTGTGTAAATGTCCAGTAAAAAGATGTACATGACCCCATCTACTGTGGAGTAACATGTAAAAAGATTTAAAAGACCCCATCTATGTTTTACACCATGTAGTAAGTGTCTAGTAATTTCAAACAAACATGTGATAGGATAATATAGGATTGTACTATTCCCTCCTAATCCAAAAGTTCAAACATGGGATATGATACAAAATCCTAAAGAATTGGTATCTTCAATTCAAGCAATGTATATAGATCTCATCATGTAAATTCCACAATTATGTGAATGTTTTTATTTTTATTTTTATTTTTTTTATTTTTGGTTCAATGACAAAAGTTGCTTTTATGGAATTCAGATAATTGACAAATTTTTGTAATCAATGGAACAATATTTCCTAGGTTGGAGCTCTCTGTTTATGTGATTGGTAATCTATAATACTAGAAATGGCTTTTTAATGTTTTAGCTTGTTTTGTGTGTTAGTGAGGGGAGAAAGCCTTCTATTGTGCTTAAAGTGACAGTCTAAGTAAGCTAAGGACCTTAATGTGACAATCCAGTTCCTTCTGCTGTGCTTTTTGGAGATTTAAGGTAACTTTTCTTTGGAAAAAAATTCATTCTCATTTCCTTATAATTTTTTTTTTTTTTGGCTCTGATGATTCAAATCCTATTTATGTTGTTCCCAACATTTACAACAACATATGTTTTGAATGTAATCAAAACACTCAAATTTAGAGTAATAGAACAAATAATTTTATTTGTTGGTTAAATTTGATGTCTTTGTTCATAATGAAAATCAAACAAGGAAGTATAAGATCCACTATGGATTTAGTAGTAGTATATGGAAAAATAAAAGTAAAATAACAAGATAACTAAACAGAGGATATAACTAAGGTTTACATTCAAAGTAGTGGCAACCATTAAAAAAAAACTAGGAGTTTAGTCGCTCAAATTTGACAGGTGCAGCTGACGATGATAACTTCCATTCTGAAGGCAGAGGCTGTTGGACACCAAAGAGTCACTAAACAACCCAACATCAACTTCATCAAAATTCAGATTAAGTGAATGGCCTAGATTATGAGGGAATGGCCCAGATTTGTGTATTATATATGCCCCTCAATCTTCAAATATCATTATCGGAGTGTGTCCATTTTATTAGCTTCAGTTGCATACCGTAATGCCTTTAATAATGTAGCTAGAAATAGTTTGAGAGAGAACCACAAACAATTTGCCTTAGGATTAAAATGTGTGATTAATCAATGGCCTAATGAATAAAAATTGTGGTAGACCTTTACAACTCCATAGAAACAACAGAGGATAATCTAGTGTAGCCATGAAACCATAAATTTGTTCACACACTTTTTTAGTATAGAACAATACAAATTATTAGATTTATGTTCGCATTTTTTTCAATGCTTCAAAACTTTAAAATTTCATTACTTTTGTTTTACCCATCTGATTTCCATAAAATTTATGTTTACAACATGTATTTACTGTTATCTATTAACGTCCTATCTATATTGAATATGAAATTTAATTTCTCTTTAAATTTGGTTACAATTATATGTCTCCCTCTAAGATGACTTCACATAGAATTGTTCATGTATGTCACATTAGCGTATGAATACATGCCGAGTTACTACTGAAATTAGCCAACTATATGCAATTGACAAATAGGCAAAACATCCCGATCTATTATTACTATTTCGGTAAACATCAAAAAACAATGCTAATCGAACCCTTAAACTTACTTAAGCTCTCTTCCATTACAGAGTACTTTTCCAAATTGCCGTCCATTCCCAGGTTCATCTTTGGTTCATGAGTATTGTTCCAATAATGGACAAGAGTTGGATGATGATAAAAGATCGGCTCAAAAGTAAAGAGTATGTACAGGGTGTTCAGTCATTTATTGAGTTCGCTACGAAGAATTTAGGGCTGCAAGAAGAAATCCGTTGTCCTTGTGTTGATTGCTTGAACGACACAAAATTTAGCCGACATGTTGTACGGTTGCACTTGATTTGAAGAGGAATCGCAATTTTTTATCGAACTTGGTTGCACCATGGGGAACATGTTCTCATGTTTCGTGATCATCCTAGTATGCGAAACGATGATACTGAAAGCAACGAACCTGGAATGATAGACAATCACGAAAATGTGGGTATTTATAAATATACTTATGCTTTTGCTTTTGGGTTTTCATTGTTTGTTGTAAGGAACCATTCAATAATTTTATTTTTTTACTTTTTTTTTTTTGGCTTAATACTTTCACAAGGATGTTTTTCAACAAAAATATTTGTTATCGGAATTTTTGATGGACCAATCTTTTGTGCACAATTGTGTGATTATGTGAAACAGTAATCAAAACGAAGCAATAAGCAAAAACTGGAAAATAAATAAATAAATAAATAAAGGTTAATTAGTTTTCTTAGTTTGATTATGTAATTTAAGATAGAAATTAAAAGAATGAAGAATGTGTGGATGATGACATAGCGTTACAAGGCGTATATGGTGAAGCATGGAAGGATTTTGATAGGTTGCATCCTACGTTCTCTGCGGATCCTCGGAATGTAAGACTAGGGCTTGCCACAGATGGTTTCAATCCATTTGGAAATATGAGTACATCGTACAGCATGTGGCCCGTAATCTTAATGCCTTACAATCTACCCCCATGGAAGTGTATGAAAGATCCATTTGTCATGCTGTCATTGCTTATTCCAGGACGATCCGCACCTGGAAGAGACATCGATATTTATTTGCAACCATTAGTAGAAGAGTTAACTACTTTGTGGGAGCATGGTGTGCAAACATATGATGCCTTAAATGGCCAAATATTTACAATGCATGCAGCAGTCATGTGGACCATCAATGACTTCCCCGCATATGGTTCCTTGTCTGGTTGGAGTACAAAAGGTTACTTGGCCTGCCCTAATTGCAACATGGATGCTTCATCTCAGAGTTTGCGAAGTAAGATAGGGTATATGGGTGCTCGGCGGTACTTACCTGAGAACCATATTTGGCGAAGAAGTAGGCTATTCAACGGTGAAATTGAGAATCGGTCCAAACCCGTGGAGTTATCGGGAGAACAAATACTCGAGCAAATTAATTTGGGGACGTACAAGCCGTACGGAAAGCATCCAACCAACCAAAAAAGACAAAGGACTGAAAAGCCAACTCCAAACTGGACGAAAAGAAGCATTTTGTTTGACCTTCCCTATTGGAAAACACTTAAGCTTCGACATAACCTTGATGTCATGCACATAGAGAAGAATATATGTGACAGTCTGCTTGGTACACTATTGAACATAGATGGCAAGAACAAGGACACAGACAAAGCACGTTTGGATCTGGAGGACATGCGAATACGAAAGGAGTTACACTTGATAAGGCATGCGAATGGCTCTTTCGAGAAGCCTCCGGCATTCTACACATTGTCCCTGGCAGAGAGACAAGGGTTTTATGATTTCTTGAAATCGATTAAGTATCCTGATGGCTATGCTGCAAATGTATCCAACTGTGTCACTGCGAATGGTGGTAAGTTAGTTGGCCTTAAGAGTCATGACTGTCATGTCCTTCTACAACGTCTTCTTCCCATTGGGATGCGAGGATACCTTCCTACCGAGATTGGGACCACATTGTTTGAGTTGGGAACTTTTTTCAAACAGTTGTGCTCAAAGACATTGCGGGTCACTGATTTGGAGCAATTGCAAGAACAAATAGTACTTATACTTTGTAAGCTTGAGAAGATTTTTCCTCCTGCTTTTTTTGATGTCATGGTCCACTTAGCAATTCATTTGCCTTATGAGGCTATGGTTGGAGGGCCCGTGCAATATCGATGGATGTATCCTATTGAGAGGTATAACTACGATGCGGGTGCTTTTTTCATGTAAATATAGTTCAATATGATCATACTAACGATCAGGCTGATGTTTACATGTAGGATGCTCGGACTTCTTAAAGGATTTGTGGGCAATAAAGCTCGGCCAGAAGGTTCCGTTGCGTAGGGTTACATATCGAAAGAGTGCATGACGTTTTGTTCAATGTACTTGGATGGAGTTGAAACGATGTTTAACAGGGAAGAAATGAACTATGATGGGGGTGACAATGGCCTGGGTTGGAAATTTTCACTCAAAATGTTCGTCCTTTTGGTCAACTCCCAACGGCAATTGATGTGTCCATAACTGACCGCGAATTGGCTCATTGGTTTGTCCTACATAGTAGTTTGAAAGTGGACGAATATCTAGAGTATGATTCCTCATCATATATGCAACATACATTTTGTACATGGTTTTTTTTTTTTAAAGTCTTCATTATTCCAATTACTTATGAATTACATTGTATTAAGTAGGGAACACAAGCTCGTGTTGCAACAAACGTATGGAAGTGATTGCAACATTGCAACATTGTAACGCGACAATGCAAAGAATTTCCTAAATGGTTCAAAGATTGCGTAAGCTAAAACTCGTTAGTGTATAGTTTACAGATAATGTTACATTATTCTAAGTTTGAATTAACATGACATACTTTTTTGTGTAGATGAACCAATTGTGAAATCAAAAGTCACCCGAAGCAACCGATGAGATGTGGTCATTAGCCAATGGACCTAATGCCTTAGTGAACACGTATTCGGGATGCATTGCTAATGGCGTCCGATTCCATACTATCGACCGTGATAACCGTCATAAATGTCAAAATAGTGGGTTGGGAGTGGAAGGCGACCACGAAGGCCAATTGATAAAGTTCTACGGCTACCTTTGTAAAGTGTGGGAACTGACATATTTGTTTGGACATCGGGTTGTTTTGTTCCAATGTGAATGGTATAACACCGGTAGTAGTCGAACTTTACGTGTCGAACCACATGTGACAACTGTTGATGTAAGAAGTTGATGGTATAAAGGTGACTTGTTTGTGTTCCTAAGCCAAGTTCAACAAGTTTTCTATGTTCATGATACGAAGTTAGGGTCGAATTGGCAAGTCGTAGAAAAGTTTCAACATCGATGAATTTGGGATGTGCCAGAGCTGGATGTGCCAGAATTTGATGAAGTGTTGCAAGAAGATGAAACCACTACCGTTGTACCAACTGAGCCTATTGATGATGATGTTGTTTTGCGTCGGGATGACATTGAACCTGAAATTATTTCAATGGAAGTTTCTCAGTCCAAAAAGCGTGTACAACCTGGGGATGTTATGGATGATGCTTTCATCTGTGACGACGATGATGAACTAACAATCGCGGGTGATGACGAAGAAGAAGATAAGATACAAAGTGATTTTGATACAGATACAAATACGGACCTAGAGTTTTAACTCACTTTGTGGTAAAATTACTTTATGTGTTCTCTAAGTACATTGTTAATGAACTTTGTTTGTTTGTCCGGCTTGTTTTGTTGATGTAATGGGGGGCAATTAACAATGCGGTGTTTGTTCTGAAATTCATACGTTCTGAGATGTTATGTACAATTCCATAATTTTGTGCAATGTTCAACCTCTTTAATTGATGAACCTTGTAATTTGAATTTCAAATTCTGCTCTTGGTTAGACTAATTATGTCTTAAATTGTAAGTAGACTAATTATGTCTTGTTTCTTGTTCTTCTTCTTGTTCTTGTTCTTCTTCTTCATCTCCTTCTTCTTCTTGTTTGGACCCCAATTTCCCAACTACATTCATATTCTATGAATTTAATACCCTTGTAATTAATTTCCTGTACGATTTCTATGAACTTTGGCTGAAAATTGAAAAGCAAATTCGTAGTGAAGTCAGATTTACCATGCAGTCTACTGTCCCATTTCGCAGATTTTCCCACACTCTTGAAACAGTCAGAGTATGTTCTTCACTGGTGGGCACTTTCATAGAGTCTATGTATTTTTTTATGTTGCAATACATAAAATAGTCATCCTTTTTGGTAGGTGTTATGAACCTGACCTATATGCCAAATGATTCAAGTTGGGACCATGATATGTCCCCATGATTCTGTACTTGATATCCTTGGGTGCTCTCACTTTAGGTGGCTCTCACTCTAGCATATCAGAGTCCTTTTTAGGAAAGCCCTCTTCTAGGTAGATTCAAACACAAAATTTGGTGTTAGCTTTAATACCGTTAGTTACAAACTTGACCATACATCTGATGGAAATAATGAGATCAAACCCATAACTCTTTGGTACTGTTACAATAGGATTCTGATAAACGTATGACCTTTCCTATAGTATACAGTGATTGTCATTTTCATAAATTCAATACTTTAGTTATTTATTTATTTATTTTTCTTCTTCTTCTTCTCTTGCTACAGCAGGATCTAGTGAAGATAGATGGACTTGCATGTGCAGTGCAGATAGTTTACTTGATGTAGCAGCTGGCAATCTCAACACAAACTATTTTACATCTTGCAATTGCACTTCTGGTATTTTGCTTTAGTGCATAGAATTATCTTCAATCAACAGCTTTAGTAATGTAGTATCCCTGAGTGATGAAATAACGATGTGTTCTTTAGGTGAATCATGTGTCGTAATGGTAGTTTATAAGACATATCTAGCAGCTTGTATCCTCCTGCATAACTAAGTATGTTCCTAGTAATGGTTTAACAATCACTAGGCTATTCTGAAAGTTCTAAATCTTGTTCTTCTGTTTCTGATTATAAGGATCATTATGATGATGTTTCTTATGCTGTGTGTGCCACTATGCTTATTTTCTAAGTGCTGTGATATGTGATTCAAAGCATGCCCCTTGTAAATGGAAGTTCTAGTAGATTGTAGGATGCTTGACATTGTGAAAGAGGCATGAAGAATAATGAACCTCCGGTTATCATTATATATTCTTCTATTTTTGTGTTGGATTTAATAGGATGTCTAAGTTGTTTTCACTCGTTGAGGGTTTCTATGTCTAGCCAAAATGTATAGAAACCTAGGGAAAAAGGTGCTTACATCTGCTTTGTGTTGCACATGACAGAGTGAATCTGAAATTAGATGACATAATTAATACTACTTGGCAAAAAATTGTAGCATTGGATTATTAATCAAAACATTGTCCATACATATATATATTTTTGTAGTTGCACCGGTTGCATTATTCCAAATGGAGTCTGGTTCATTTATTTCTAGTTATTTTGTTTGACAATGTTAGTTTGTCCTATTTTGGTAAGGTACTAATACAATGTGCACAATGCCTATGAGGGTGTAATTTTTACATCACATGGCTTCTAGCTTCTCATTGTCATTGTTTTGATCTTGATCAATTCTTGCATAAATGGAAAAGTGAACCAGATCGTCTCTTCAAAGGTGATTATTACTAGTTATCTGGAAGTGCTCAGTAGGATGGCAAGATGATGAATCAAGGGAATTAAGCTTGGCTAAAGGTGGGTCTGACTGGGGGCTTGATTGTGATTGCAGAAAAGATGCTCAAGCCAAGCTCAATGTTAATTTAGAGCTTGATAGTTTTTTATCAACCTCGAACGTTGCTTGATTAGATCATGCGTACAAAGTCTGTTATATGGAAAAATTACTACACAAGCTTGATATATTGGATCATTAGAATCCCACACCAGATCACTCAATAAAACAAACAAGCTATGTGCAATCCTAGTGTAGAACCCATTCGTATTTTGGGGTGAGATTGACCAACTCAATGGTAGGCTTGATTTGGTTGGTTTATGCCACTAGTTTTTAACTAGGTGTCTAGTTCTCGGGATATTGGTTTATATACATTCTAAATAACAAACCTACTGGAAATAAAGTTTGGATCTTGTTATTCACGAATTTCATACCTCCATATGCTTGTATTTTAGTATTATTAATCTTGGTATTTGTTGAATAAAGCACCTCAAATTGGTGTATAGGCTACGTGAATCAGAAGATTTACTTGGGTGCTGTTTTATTGCTGCTTACAGGATCGATCGGTCATGTTGATTCATCAAAGAAGTGGATATCCAGCAAAGCTGTTGTGATTGTTTTGTTAATATGTGTTCTTCTCACAACTCTGGCATTTACTGCTTCTGTGGCATGCTATGTCTATCGAAGGGACAAATGTCCTGTACAAGGCCCTCTATTCTCATCAGATAAAGATACAAGTTTCAGCAGTGCTACAAACCTAATAAGCCACGGGGCTTCTTCAGTTCCTGAGTCGAGAGTTTATATAGGTTCCATTAACCCTTTCACAGGTATTTGGGGTTATGACTGCTTTTTTGAGGTCTTTGTACTGAACTTTTAATCATGGCTTCTATTAGAGTGTCTTGTGAGTGCTGGCTAATAATATAGTTTGTATAATCTAATATAGGAACGTGGAATACACAGATTAAATCTTGACATCATTGATTGAATTATTTTTGGGACAAACATTGCCCAACCCTTCAACTCATTTTGTTGGAGATACACTGATTGGTAAGGAACGGATCAGTTGTGCATGGTTATGCAATTATGTCCAAGAAAGGAAAGAAAATCAGATTTGTATCTCAAGTTTAACAGAGGCAACACATGCACTCTTTGGTTGGCCTATAGTTGGTTGAGGTGGTATTATAGCTTTATTGTGCTTTACATATTTAAAATTAAAATATGTAAATTTTGTTGTACATAAAGTTCATTGATTTAGTTGAGTTCTAAACTTAAAAGAAACCAAGGGTTGTACACTTATGATTAATGGTATTAGTTTGATAGTCACTAATTATGTCTTTGTTGTTACAATGTTTATATGTGTTTCTTTTTTTTAAAAATGAAGCAGCAACTCATACTAGTTGAGTTCATTAAATTTGTTTGTAATTTGTGACTTGCTTCCCCTTTTGTGGCAGGGCGAAAAAGGTTGATTCGTGCACGAGGACATACATTAGGCAAAGGAGTGCAAAAAAGAATAGCTAGGAAAAAAGGAGAGAAATTACATGTGTATGTCAATCGTGTGTTGAACGCAATCACAGGAGGGAATGCAACCCCAGCGACAAATGAGTTGAGATTGCAAATTAGACGGTTGTGCCCTCTTCAGAGCCTGAAGTCATGGAGAAAAATCGATCAAAGTACCAAAGATGCGGTCATTCAAGCGATGCTAGTATGAGATTCATCTTGCTTAAATTATTATGTTATTTGTAATTGCTTAAATTAATTGATGTACTAATTGTCTTATTAAGTTTGTAGGACAAGTTTGTTATCGGCGATGATTTTGATAATGATGAACAAGCTCAACAAATCCTCGATAGAAAGGCAAATTTGCTATACAAGGATTGGAGGTACAATCTAAAGCAAGAGTTCCTCGAACTTGAGGAAAAGGGTGTTGATGACCCCTATAGTCATCCGCCTAGTGGAGTGAGCTTGGACGATTGGAAATATCTTATTGATGTTGCTTGGAAAGACGAATCTCACTTGGTAACAAATTAATTAGAAACCCTATTCTTGAAATTCATTTATGTGAATATAAATAAAAATTCTTTACTAATTATTTTATTTTTGTAATTTTGTTTTTTGTTTTTTGTTTTTTTTTTTTTTCTTGTTAGAAACGCTCTAAAGCTGGTAAAGCAAATAGGGGTATGCTCCCCTACAATCATACAAGTGGATCGCGATCATTTCCTATAGCAATGGTCGCTTATGGTGAGAAGTAGTTATTTGTTTAGTAATGTAATGGATGATTGATTCTTCTTCATTTTGAATATTACTATGTACTACTTCATCAATGGAATTTTTTCAAACCTAATAGGCAAATGAGGATGGAGAAATAGATTTCCCTGAATTTTATAAGAAATCACACAAGTCCAAGAAGACGAGAGACTGGATTGACCCCAAATGTGGTGAGCTACATGTGAGTATTGAATGTTGAAACTAATTTTGTTGCAGACATATTAGTAAAGTTGTTTTCAATTCCTTCAACCATCTTGACTTTATTGTTTTTTTCCCATGACAGGATGATATGGTGAATCTACATGTCGTAGCCACCGATGCGGGGTTGCCATTGACCTACGAAGAACTGTCAAGGCAAGAAAAAAAAAATTACTTGCGTGGATGTGGGATAGGCTTGCAACCCTCTTCAACAGTTTCCAGTGCGGCACGAGCACGTGATAAACATATGGAGTCAATGAGAGCGGAACTAGAGGTTCTTCGTGAGGAGCATCAAAGAGATCACGAGGAGTTGCTGAAGGAGAAAGAGGAGCGCCAAAGAGATCATGAGGAGTTGGTCAAGGAGAAAAAGGAGCGCCAAAGAGATAGGGAGGAAATTATGAGAGAAAGAAATGAGCTAATGAAACAAATTGAAGAAGGAAAAAAAGCACGGAAGGCACAACAAGTACAACTCAATCATTTGAACGACGTGGTGTCACGGCTCACAACCCTCTTGCAGGGTTCAGATGGTCATCCTACTATTCGGTAAACATGATTTTATTGATAAGCTAATGCAAGTTCTACAAAAATATGGATCATATTGGCATAGAATTGTTTTCTAAAGTTGCTATGCAAATTTTTTTTTGTTATGTGTTTCGAACAGGTTTTGAGGCATAATATGAGTAGACTTTGCAGCAGACGGACCGTAATCTGATTTCCGTAAGGTAACCACTGCTTCCAAAATTGCTTCCAAAATTGTCTAATTAATCAAATACATAAATGCATTAAAGAAATTAAAAAGACACATGCAAATCAAATAATTTGTATTGAACATACTGAACCATTCCAAAGTGGCTCACATTTGGAAGGCATTCAGTACCTCAAAAACAGCCCTTGAAAAAGTCCCTTCTGTCTGGATCAACTTGAGCTTTCCTACAGTAATGTATGGGTCAACAGTAGGTATAACCTCAGGATATTGAACTGCAGGAATAGAATACTTCTTCTCTGGCTGAGACATCAAGGCAGACAAGCAAGAATCATCATAAAATGTAATTGTCCATGGTTGCTCATAAAAATATAAACGTCTGGAAATGTTTAGAAACAAAAACTAAAACCTATAGAAATTTTTATACATTCCCAATAAACATATAATAGAACATGTTGAGGTATAAACATCTCTTTACATAAAGGGCACAAGTGTACAATCCAAAAGTAAGCCCAGCACAAACCAAGAATTGTTAATTTAATGTCAAACAAATCAATCTTATCAAGAACATGTGTATAAAATTTCAAATGTGCGTACAAGGATCCAAGTAAGTTTTTACAAAATTATTAATAAATAATGATATTAATAATAGATAAAAATATTAATAATAGATAAAGGTCAAAAGGTTTATAAGGTATGGGAGTCTTTCTGGAAAACAAGGTCACAACAAAATTAGGTTCCTCTGTTAATGCTGAAGAGACTGCACCTTCTATTTGGATGAAGTAAAACTAAATTAAGCACTGGAGTTGCTTCGTAACGGTGCAATGCATTTAATGGAATTAAAAGTGGTACTTAACAAAGAGGGAAAATGTATGAAGCAACACTGGTTGAAGAGAAGAGGAGAGCAAGTTGTCTAGAAAGGTTCAACCATGTGCAACCTAGACTATTGATTGTACTAGAAAAAGAATGGAAGAGAATCTTGATTGAGCTTGGAGATGCCAAAAAGGACATGGGAAAGGTAAAAAATAAGCTGTGATGGAGGACATGATTGAAGTCAACTGAGGAAATGATCTTACAAACAGTCAACCTGAGAATATAATTAAGGCTTATTTTTCTTTAGGTCAGATTAAAAATGAGCCGCAATGAAAAACTGAAGGTAGATCCAATATTTGATTGAAGGATTAAAATATATGATTGTTGCAACATGATTAACTGCAATCAGCATCAGTGATGGGACAAACATAAACTAGTGAGTAGCAAATCTACAGCAAGGAAAGAGGTCCAAAGACAACACCATGGGAATAGTAAAAAGGGATCCTTCAAACTCTTTTCAAAAGATCCATTTCCACAGGGTTAGAACTGCAGCCCTCGAACCACTGTAGGGATGGCACGAGTAGCTTCGTTGTGTCAAATAAGACCTGTGGGGACATACGGGACGTAATTAGCACATGTACGTTGGGAGTTGGCGTGAAAAACGTCGTAAACTTAGCCGAAAAAAGGCCTTTGGGGGCCGAAAATTGAAAGCAGCCGCTGAACCACTGTAGGGACAGCACGGGTAGGTTCCGCATGTCAAATACGACTTGTGGGGATAGACGGGACGTAATTAGCACACGTACGTTGGGCGTTGGCGTGGTAAACGCCATAAACTTAGCCGAAAAATGCCTTTTGGGGCCGGAAATTCAAAACAGCCCCTGAAGCACTCTATGGATGCCACGGGTATCTTTCTCATGTCAAAAAGGACCTGTGGGACGTTATTAGCATGCGTACGTTGGGGGTTTCCGTGACAAACGCATATATAAGCTTATAAATATATATTAAAACTTGTCATGGTTCCCCATTGAGGTTGTTCATTACTTATGTCAGATTGTGAAGCACAATTAGAACCATTACTGCAATGAAAAACCGCCTCTCCCACAGAAAAGCTAACCATAACTCTAATTGCTTGCTTTGAATTTAAAGGATAAGTCAGTATCATGAGTATCTTTAGTGGCACTTTTAGCAGAGCTCTAGACTGACCAGGTTTTTTCTAGCTAGAAGTCCAATTTTGTTTTGTATTGAAGGACAACAATTTGCCAATTTTTTGAAGGATCTTAGAGTATGGTTGAACAGTCGTCAAGACTAGAGGTCATAGTGCTAGATGTGCCTGTTGGGCACTATGGTTCCTTTCAATAGGGTGTTTCTGCTCAGTGCTGACACAGTTGTAATATTTTTATGTCTACTATCTGAGACTCGGTTATCATAATGGTAATATGGCTCAATGATTCATGGATTTTGTGAAGAAAACCAAGTGTCTTGCCCAGTTTATCTCCTGATTATAGGTTCCAGTTCACGTGGATCAAATTTGATGGTGAGCGTTATGAGTGGATTCCTAGAAGCTTCTTTCTTTTTTCTTTTTTCTTTTTTTTTCTTTTTTTTTTGAGTCTCTGTCTTTATCTAGTCATGGTTGGATAAATTGTGACCTTATATTTAGTTTTTTCCAACTTGCCAAGTACTTCTAACTTGGCCATCCATGATAAAGAGTCTGCATGCAATATATATGATAACTTGTGTTCTTATTGGTGGATAATAGTGTTTGGTTGGTATTGCAAGCTGAAGCAGTTCTCTGTTCTTAGAGAGAACCAAGATGGTTGTTGACTGCTCAGGAATAAAAATTATTGGTTGTTGACTGCTTAGGAATTGTAGTTACCGTAATGACCTAGAAAGTGGAAGGTTTGTTGATCATTGTGGAGATTTAGATGTTAGATTTTAAGTGTGAGAAACAAATCTTGGAAATGTGAAATTTATAAGTTACTGGGTAATAAATACACTCTTGAAATTGTATGATGCTGCGAAACACATGGCCTATATACACCTCATTTGTTACAGGATCACTGTTGTGGCTGAACATCAGTCATGTTGAATTGGAATTTTAAGTGTTTTGCTCAACAAAAGAATGACTGTGAAGCTGAATAAAAATTCAGAAACTGTTGGAGCTAATAAACGAGACCGGTGTCATAATCTTTTCATGGCAACTGTGAATCTATGGTGATCATTCAGCTTTAACCTTTTTTTGTTTATGCTTACATACAACTGTAAACTGTAAACTCATGTGGTTCATCCTTTTTTTGTGGTTCATCCTTTTTTTGTTTATGCTTACATACATGATGCCAAGTGCGGAGGGAAGGGCGCATCAAGTGGGGTCCTGCCCCCTCAAACATTTGTACATACTTTTTGTTGAAAATTTTTGTTTACAATGGAACTAATGGGTGTCATTTTTGTTGTGTAGATGGCTTTTGGCATTGACATGTGGATCTTCTATTTTTTTGTCCGGTAGATAATTCATAGTTTTGCAAAGTTGGGAAGTTTTGGGTTGTCTTCAGCTTTTTGTGTGAAAATTGGATGAATCGTACATATAATTTTAGCACGCGTTACATAGTATTTTTGGAAGTTGTATTAATTGCTCTGGTGGTATATATAGATTACCTTTTGTCGTGGTACATATTACCATGGTAATTTGTACCATGCAAAATGTCATTACAATGCATAGTATAGTAACAATGTTTTGTGTATAGAGGACATTGTTTTGGTAACATAGTTGGAATGTATGGCGTTATTATTTGTAATTAGAATATATTAGTTGGTTTGTATATAAGTTTACATTGTAAGGTGTTCTTTTTTGTTTGATGGTTGTAAGTGAAACATGCATTACGGAATAAGTGATAATATATATTGATTTGGTTGTATACCTATTACAGGTTACGGTGGATATATATAGGTTTTGAAAAAAATTATTAAAATGAAAAAAACAAAACAAAAATAAAAAATGACATTTTTGGTGACAAAAAAATTGGTAGCCAAAAAGTAGAAATAAATCTTCTGGCAACTAAATATTTAGTAGCTAAAACTAATTGAAAATAGTTTTGGCGACTAATTGTTTAGTAGCTAAAACTGAAAACACTTTTGGCGACTAAACTGTATAGTAGCTAAAACTAGAATAACCTTTCCACGACAAAATCTTTAGTGGCTAAAAATGACACTATTGGCGACTATTAATTTGGTCGCCATTTATAATTGAATTTTTTGGCGACAAAAGATTTAGTAGCTGAAGATGTATTGATGTTCCCTTTGGGCGACTAATATCTTAGTCGCCAATATGAATCATCAGCGACTAAAGCACTGTTAGTCGCTGATGATGAAGCATTGGCGACTAAGATATTAGTCGCCCAAAGGGAACATCAATACATCTTCAGCTACTAAATCTTTTGTCGCCAAAAAATTCAATTATAAATGGCGACCAAATTAATAGTCGCCAATAGTGTCATTTTTAGCCACTAAAGATTTTGTCGTGGAAAGGTTATTCTAGTTTTAGCTACTATACAGTTTAGTCGCCAAAAGTGTTTTCAGTTTTAGCTACTAAACAATTAGTCGCCAAAACTATTTTCAATTCGTTTTAACTACAAAATATTTAGTTGGCAAAAGATATATTTCTTTTTTTTGGCTACCAATTTTTTTGTCACCAAAAATCTCTTTTTTATTTTTGTTTATTTTTTTCATTTTAATAAATTTTTTCAAAACCTGTATATATCCACCGTAACCTGTAATACGTATACAAACAAATCAATATATATATTATCACCTATTCCGTAATGCATGTTTCATTTACAACCAACAAACAAAAAAGAACACCTTCCAATGTAAACTTATATACAAACCAACTAATATATTCCAATTACAAATAATATCGTCAGACATTCCAACTATGTTACCAAAAGGTCTTCTTGTCAGCCCTTAGCATCCATACTTACCAACCAAGAGAATTTCTAACCCACAAACAACAACCCACCCCCCCCCCCCCCCCCCCCCCAAAAAAAAAAAAAAAAAAATAAATAAAAAAGAAACAACTTTTATTCATCTCTTGTATCCTTCAATTTATAAATATATTTATGCTTTTGCTTTTGGGTTTTCGTTGTTTGTTGTAAGGAACCATTCAATAATTTTTATTTTTATTTTTATTTTTTGGCTTAATACTTTCACAGGGGTGTTTTTCAACAAAAATATTTGTTATAGGAATTTTTGATGGACCAATCTTTTGTGCACAATTGTGTGATTATGTGAAACAGTAATCAAAACAAGCAATAAGCAAAAACTGAAAAAAAAAAAAAAAAAAAATTTATAGCAATTTTTGATGGACCAATCATTTGTGTACAATTGTGTGATTATGTGAAACAGTAATCAAAACAAAATAATAAGCAAAAATTGAAAAACAAATCTTAATGAAATTATGAAAAACTGAATTCAAAAAAAAAAAAAAAAAAAGTCAGATCAAGTCAAATATTTAACACTTTCTCTTTAAGACATATTTGTTCATTGCATGCTCACACATGGAAACCCTTGATTGGCCAATTATGACAGAGAACTGCACAATCCAAGATCAACGATCATAGATGGAATGAATGCACTTAAAATTGTTCCACACTACAAAAAATTCACTTTTGGCGTTAATGTTTTAGTCCCAAAAGCATTAATTTTAGTCGCGAAATGATTTGCGACCAAAATTTGGTCCTGGCTTTGTCGCGGCTACATTGTCGGCGAAGGTATTGGCGACAATTTTAGTCGCTAAAAATTAACAAATGCGACTAATCTTTAGTAGGCAAAAAAGGCAGCAAATTAGCACTAAAGCACTGTTAGTCTGATGATGAAGCATTGGCGACTAAGATATTAGTCGCCCAAAGGGAACATCAATACATCTTCAGCTACTAAATCTTTGTCGCCAAAAAATTCAATTATAAATGGCGACCAAATTAATAGTCGCCAATAGTGTCATTTTTAGCCACTGAAGATTTTGTCGTGGAAAGGTTATTCTAGTTTTAGCTACTATACAGTTTAGTCGCCAAAAGTGTTTTCAGTTTTAGCTACTAAACAATTAGTCCCAAAACTATTTTCAATTGTTTTAGCTACTAAATATTTAGTGCCAAAAGATTTATTTCTACTTTTGGCTACCAATTTTTTTGTCACCAAAATGTCATTTTTTATTTTTGTTTGTTTTTTTCATTTTAATAATTTTTTTCAAAACCTTATATATCCACTGCAACCTGTAATAGGTATACAACCAAATCAATAAATATTATATCACTTATTCCGTAATGCATGTTTCACTTACAACCATCAAACAAAAAAGAACACCTTACAATGTAAACTTATATACAAACAACTAATATATTCCAATTACAAATAATAACGCATACATTCCAACTATTTACCAAAACAATGTCTCTATACACAAAACATTGTTACTATACTATGCATTGTAATGACCATTTGGCATGGTACAAATTACCATGTAATATGTACCACGACAAAAGGTAATTATATATACCACCAGAGCAATTAATACAACTTCCAAAAATACTATGTAACGCGTGCTAAAAATTATATTACGATTCATCCAATTTTCACACAAAAAGCTGAGACGACCCAAAACTTCCCAACTTTGCAAAACTGTGAATTATCTACCGGACAAAAAAATAGAAGATCCACATGTCATGCCAAAAGCCATCTACACAACAAAAATGACACCCATTAGTTCCATTGTAAACAAAAATTTTCAACAAAAAGTATGTATAAATGTTTGAGGGGGCAGGACCCCATTGATGCGCCCTCCCTCCGCACCTGGCATCATGTATGTAAGCATAAAACAAAAAAAGGATGAACCACATGAGTTACAGTTTACAGTTGTATGTAAGCATAAACAAAAAAAGGTTAAAGCAAATGATCACCACAGATTCACAGTTGCCATGAAAAGATATGACACGGTCTCGTTATTAGCTCCAACAGTTTCTGAATTTTTATTCAGCTTCACAGTCATTCTTTGTTGAGCAAAACACTTAAAATTCCAATTCAACATGACTGATGTTCAGCCACAACAGTGATCCTGTAACAAATGAGGTGTATATAGGCCATGTGTTTCGCAGCATCATACAATTTCAAGAGTGTATTTATTACCCGTAACTTTAAATTTCACATTTCCAAGATTTGTTTCTCACACTTAAAATCTAACATCTAAACTCCACAATGATCAACAAACCTTCCACTTTCTAGGTCATACGTAACTACAATTCCTAAGCAGTCAACAACCAATAATTTTTATTCCTGAGCAGTCAACACCATCTTGGTTCTCTCTAAGAACAGAAACTGCTTCAGCTTGCAATACCAACCAAACACTATTACCACCAATAAGAACACAAGTTATCATATATATTGCATGCAGACTCTTCATCATGGATGGCCAAGTTAGAAGTACTTGGCAAGTTGGAAAAAACCAAATATAGGTCACAATTTATCCAACCATGACTAGAAAAGACAGAGACTCAAAAAAAAAAAAAAAAAAAAAAAGAGAAAGAAGCTTCTAGGAAATCGCACTCATAACGCTTACCATCAAATTTGATCCATGTGAACTGGAACCTATAATCAGGAGATAAACTGGGCAAGACACTTGGTTTTCTTCACAAAATCCACGAATCATTGAGCCATATTACCATTATGAAACCGAGTCTCAGATAGTAGACATAAAAATATTACAACTGTGTCAGCACTGAGCAGAAACACCCTATTGAAAGGAACCATAGTGCCCAACAGGCACATCTAGCACTATGACCTCTAGTCTTGACGACTGTTCAACCATACTATAAGATCCTCAAAAAATTGGCAAATTGTTGTCCTTCATACAAAACAAAATTGGACTTCTAGCTAGAAAAAACCTGGTCAGTCCAGAGCCTGCTAAAAGTGCCACTAAAAGTACTCATGATACTGACTTATCTTTAAATTCAAAGAAGCAATTAGAGTTATGGTTAGCTTTTTTGTGGGAGAGGGGGTTTTTCATTGCAGTAATGGTTCTAATTATGCTTCACAATTGACATAAGGATATGAATAACCTCAATGGGGAACCATGACAAGTTTTAATATATATTTAAAGCTTATATATGCGTTGTCACGGAAACCCCAACGTACACATACTAATAACGTCCCACAGGTCCTTTTTGACATGAGAAAGATACCCGTGCATCCATAGAGTGCTTCAGGGGCTGTTTTGAATTTCCGGCCCACAAAGGCATTTTTCGGCTAAGTTTATGGCGTTTACCACGCCAACGCCCAACATACGGTGCTAATTACGTCTCGTTTATCCTACAAGTCATATTTGACATGAGGAAGCTACCGTGCTATCCCTACAGTGGTTCAGCAGCTGCTTTCAATTTTCGGCCTCAAAGGCCTTTTTTTGGCTAAGTTTACGACGTTTTTCACGCAACTCCCAGCGTACATGTGCTAATTACGTCCCGTATGTACCCACAGGTCTTATTTGACACAACGAAGCTACTCGTGCCATCCCTACAGTGGTTCGGGGCTGCAGTTTCAACCCTATGGAATGGATCTTTGAAAAGTTTGAAGGATCCCTTTTTCACTATTCCCATGGTGTTGTCTTTGGACCTCTTTCCTTGCTGTAGATTGCTACTCACTAGTTTATGTTGTTCCCACACTGATGCTGATTGTAGTTAATCATGTTGCAACAATCATATATTTTAATCCTTCAATCAAATATTGGATCTACCTTCAGTTTTTCGTTGCGGCTCATTTTTAATCTGACCTAAGAGAAAAATAAGCCTTAATTAT